GTGGCCAGGAGCGGCCACTGCACTCCAGTCTGGGCGACAGAGCGAGACACCAACTCAAAAAAAAACCCCAAAAAACTGGACAGCCAAGTGGAGGGGTCGGCTCCCAGTATTTGGAGGGGTGGGGGACACCCAGCGCCCTCTCCTGGCTCCCGTAGTACCCTGCGTATCTGTTGGGCTTCTTGGAACACATCCAAATCCAGCTGCTTCCTGGACCGGGCGGGGTAGAGAGACACAAAGGGCCCAATAAATGCCAGTGGGCTTTTATGGCAAGAGGAGAAGCAGTTTTATTGTAAGGCTTTTATATAACAACTCTTAATCCAAGGGCTCTGGGTGTGTGTTTGGTCTGTGTGATGGGGTGGGAGTCGAGTTGTCTGGGAGATGGATAAGGATGGGGTCACTGAAAAAGACAGAAAATGGGGCTGAGGAGGTAGCAGAGGAAGGTAAAGACTCTAGGGGCAAGAGCTTTGGATGAGGCTGAGGAAGGGGAATTGAGAACCTTGGAGAACAAAGGGTGGGAGAAGAGGACAATGGAGTTGGAGTAAGGAGGATTAGGGAAAAGTGCTGATGGAGTGAGAGGAAGAAAGGGCCATGAAAGGAGAACCGGGAAAATTCAAGGAAAAGGAGCACCAGGGATAAGGAGGTGCGATCACTCTGAGAAGTGGAGAGGAACATCACATCACAGAGTACACCTAAGGAGAGTTGAGGTAGAGGAGCATGCCCCACGGTATGAAGTCCAAAGTTCACATCCATTTTTTCTCTGCCTATCCCAGGATATGAGGAAGACTTGGAGACGGTGAGTTCCACTTTTACTATTCCTTTTCACTGCCAGCTGCCATAGCTATCACTTTCTCACTGGACCCAGATCTTTAATCTCATTCACAGGCAGGTTTTCTGGGGGGTGTGGCTTCATCCCTTCTTCCTCCAAAGACTGAATGGGGGAGGCATGGGGGCATTAGTATCAGAGGGCAGAGGGTTCTCTATTGATATCCTGACCCTTCCCCCTCATCTGTCCAGATTTGATGTCCCAACACCCAAACCATCTAACTCAGAGGATGATCTCCCTGAAGATTACCCAGTGGTCAAAAACATGCTTCACACATTGACAGGTAAGGAGGGAAGAAGGGAGGGAACTGAATGTCTGTTAGGTTTTCTCCCTTTTAACTCTCCAAAATGATCAAGTCTTTTTTGACATCTGTATTAGTTTCCTAGGACTGCTGTAACAAAGTACTACAAAGTAGTTGGCTTAAGCAAGACATTTATTATCTTGAAGTTCAAGAAGGAGGAGTCCAAAATCAAGGTGTCAGAAGTGTTAGTTCCTTCTGAGAGCCATAGGAGAGAATTTGTTCCATGCCTCTCTCCTAGCTTCTAGGAGCCTCACATGTTCCTTGGGTTATAGATGGTCTGCATGGTGTCTTTCCTTTGTATGCATTTGTCTGTGCCCAAATTACCCTTTTTATAAGTCAGCAATCAGATTGGATCAGTGCTCACCCTAATAACCTCATTTTAACTTGATTACCTCTGTAAAGATTCTATTTCCAGAAAAGGTAACATTGTGAGGTATTGGGGGGCTTCGACCTTTTGTGTGTGTATGGGAGCATATAGTTTAGCCCAGAACAATGTCTATCCTCAGTTCCTCATATTCCAGCCATTTTCCCTCTTTCTTTTTCATATACTCAAACAACAGACCCCTGGAAGTCAGTTGCCTCTCAGGAAATTCTGCTTCCACCATCTCTCAATCACTTCTCTCCAGAAGGTTCCAGAACCCCAGCAACTCCCTGCCCCTTCCTTTCTCACTCACTCCCAAAAAGAAGGGTGCTCTCCACCCTTCTTTAAACTGCCTAGAAAAGATGGGGTCCACCTCTTGGTTACCCACCATCCCACCCAGTCCAAATTGTTTGTAGCACCTCTAATCCAGATATGTTTCCTCAAAGCACCCCACACATGTGAGACCAACTGCTCTTTCTTTCTGCTCTTTGGCTGTCACCACCTTCTCTCTCCTCCTCTGCCCCACATCCCCGATTGAAATAGGCCTGCCCATCCCCACCTATTCCCGTGGGTGGGTGGGTGGGTGGGCTGGTTTTTCAGGATACCTTGGATTTCTCTTTGCCCCTCCCCTGTTACTTGGGGTTCCAGTATCAAGTATCAGTGTTTCTCTTTAGATCCACCTTCCCCATCCTGCTGACCTAGCTCCTACGCCCCACCCCAGATGCTGCAGATTGAAGGATCAGCACTCACTCCTCCCTAGAAGTTGGATCAGTCGGCCTCACTCTCCCTCCTCCGTCCCACAAACCAGACAACCCTCCTTGGATATCTGTGCTGTGTCCCCAGCCCTGGGCCAGCATGATCCTTTCTCAAGTCCAGTTCTACAGAAGTGGCGCATCACTGCGCAGGTTCAATAATCCCCAGGCCTGCTCTTCATATGCCTTCGTCCCTTTTAGTCCTGTAGCCGCCTTTTGAGCTGTTTTAGTCTCTTACGTGCCCTTCGCCGCCCATTTTCCACCCTACCCCGCCTCTGATTCGGAAACCCCTCTCACACGGCCCTCTCCTTGCCTCCCCCTCTCCAGCCGACCTGACCCTGGACCCTGGCACCGCACACCACCGTCTGCTCATCTCCGCCGACCGTC